AAGAAAATTCAATCCATAGCATTCCACCATTTCATCCCCCAAAATCATGTCTTTCTCTCATGAGGAGTTATTCTATCATACATCATCCTCAAAAGGTTCAATTCATTCTAACAGTAACTCTAAATCCAAAATTTCATCTTCTGAATAAATCAAGTATGGGTGAGACTCTAGGTGTTCCACACTGAAGTAAAATTCCTTTCCATCTACTGACCTGTGAGAATATAAATTACCTGTTTCAGTGTAAGGTAGAATAAGCACAAAGTTGACATTCCCATTTCATCAATGCAAACTGATGAGAAAGAAGAGATCACAGGCACCATGCAAATTTCTTTCATTTTCTAGCTTCTGAATTTAACCCACTGTTCTTCAAACATAGCCAAGAAGTGCCTCTACTCTCCTGTTTCCTGGAACTGGGTACTCTTGCTGGATGCTAGGTAGATGTCCCCTGGCCCTGGGAATGAGCTCTGTCTTCTAGTCCAAAGAGATACCAACCTTGCTTCCGCAATTTTAGGTGGAAGATTTTAGCCTTCTAAGCTTCCAGTGACCCTGTTCTCATGAGCACAGCAATCCCACTCCAAGTTTGGATGGACCACTTATTCTTCTGGCCTATGAACAAGCATGTTCCATCTGCTCCCTCAAATTTGAATAGCAGTCCCCAACTTTGCCCCACCTGCCCCTTGAACTGTTGATCCACCTGAGTGACTGTCCCAAGCTCTAGAATTGAGGTAGTTACACCTGGATTCTGAAACCCAAGAAGCAAGGGACACACCTTTCAAACACAGGGGATGGTCTTCTACCCTTTGCTATCAAGCAGCCCTGTTTACTTAAGCATCTTTTAAAAAGTTCTGCTAATCTCTGGAACCCTCTGGAGATGGCATCTTCCTTTTCTTGCAGACAGTTCACAAAGAGCTCTAATGACCTGTTTCCTGTCTTTAGAATTCCTGGAAGCAGGCACTTTTCCTTCCTTTCATTCTGCTGCTATTCTTTTCAGTTTACCCTAATAGAATTTTTGCTGTAATGGTTAATCAAATCCATCAATCACACCCAATGTCTTCAGCAAATGATCTATAGTCACACTCTTAGTAAACGTTCCAGGATATATTTCTTTATTTTGTACAACAGGTTTTTCAAATATTTAAGGGTTTTGGTTTCATTTTGTATGATTTATTTGAGGAGATATCTTTTTCCTTTCAAATGTTACTATAAAAGAAATTGAGATTAAAAACTACTCCTTTAAATATTAGTTTAGCAAAAGATTTTCAAATACCGAAGTTTACCTTGTTTACAAGTTCTACTTTCTGAAAATCATTCAAACATGATTCAGACAAGTTTTTGTCACCTTATAAAAAGAGTTCTTTCTCTCTGGAATTTTATTTAATATAGTTCTTGATCCTTGCAAATTCTTCAGTGTCTTTAAAGCAAAATTTAATGTGAAAGGCTTTAAAAGAAAGTATAATACAGCTGCAAAGCAACTCTGTATAAAACACTTCAAAATATTCTTTCTGAAAAGTGACAGCCTCTTAAATTACAAGAAAACTGTAATAGAAATGTATTCTTTTGGAATTTTATAGGTCCTGGAAGCTTTTTGTTTTCAGGTTGACTACATTTTATAATAACTTTGTTTTAAAAACCATGCCAGATTTGCACAATATCAAAAAATTACTGGAGACAAAAATATGTTATAGTCGTATCAATGAACAGAAAAGATTAATGAGCAAGTGTGCCATTTTTAGGGGAATTGCTACCTGATCACTTTTTGTTGGTTTTTTTCCCCCAAGATATAAAGTAACAACAGTTAAATGCCTTTGAATCCAAGTTAATCTGGATTCATAGTTAGCCCCTGTGGCAGAGCAGAACCGCTCCACACAGTTTTCTTGGCTGTAATCTTCATGGGAGCAGATAATCAGGTTTTTCTACATTGCTGAGGGTTCAAATCGCCAATTTTTCAGTTAGCAGCCAGGTGCTTAACCACTGTGCCACCAAGGCTCCTCAATATTATTAGTTCTATAGAAACCCATAGCTAATTCCTACTATTTTTATATCAAATGTCCCCTTCAGATAGCCTTTACTAGACATGGTACAACAGATCACCAAATCTTCAACATAAACTATGAAAATAAATCTGCTTATATCTGATAATACACGTATGTGATGTTATGGTTTATAGAGCAATTTTATGGTTTATAGGGCAATTTATCAAAATACAGGAACGCTATAACTGCTTGAGCAGTAATTTGACTAGAGGTACCTTTTCCTATACCATGCCATTTTTCAGTTCAAATGTTTTACATGTCTCCATCACTGTATTTACTTAGTCTCAACATGTGAAGAATCAGTCTGTGTTCTAGTCTAGCTAGATAATAAAGAAGAGAAAAATAACCCTTCAAACAACAGTGCCCATTAAAAAAAAAATTTGCTAGTTTCCGCTTTTATCTGATTCCAAGTTACATAAACACTATTATTTATTATATTGTTATAGAAAATTTCAGAAAGACATATTAAATATAGAGACCATTATAACAAACATATATACCCTATGTCCAGCTTCAACAATTATGAATTTATGGTCAATCTTATAGGACTTCCTCCATCATTCTAGAAATTTTTTAGTGTGCATGTCTAAATAAACTTTGCAACGCACAACCACACGCCATCATGATACCTAAAAAATTAATGTTTCCTATTATGTTCAAAAAGCCAGACTTTAAACTTCATTGTTTCTCATCTTTTTCACATACTGTAAAGCATAGAAAAAGTATTTCTATAATTTGTGTGCACTGATTCCATGCAAATAAGCAAAATCTTTTTGCCACTAGGTGGTACTACCTCATAAATGTCAGACATTCTAGATAATAAGCAATCTGGTTGGGAGATTCTGATTTTTCTTTATTAGCAAGAAGCTAATTACCAGGAAACATGGTTCAAATGATATAATATCTTCCAAAATCTTGGGTGAATTGACTCTTTTTTTTATTTTACATTAACTTTAATATAAAAACAAAAAGCTAATGGTTCCAAGCATCTTTTTGGGAAACGACTTTTAGGTAAGACATAACATTCTAACATTCTAATTATAATATTACATTATAATATGAGCCAATCCTGAAGAAATAACATGAAAGGATTTGCAGGAATGTTTGCAAAAGCATGTGGTGCTGCTAATAATCAGTTCGCAGTTAAATTAGGACAGATGTAAAATGTCAATATTAATAGATAAATTTATTCCTTTACAGGGAACTCTTAAGGGACTGACTGACATTGCCACTCTAAGAGACATTCCATGTCTGCATGGAAATGGGAACATAAGGAATAAAATGTCTCCCCAAATGGAATTAACTGCAATGTTCTATACTAAAAAAGGACACTTATCTGACAGCTAGGACTGTCAGACTAAGTAATCTGCAAAATGTACCATCAAAATAGTTGCCAAGGGTAGTCCCTTTAGGAATTTAAAAATTATGTACCTTTAAACTTTAAAACACACGCCATGTACAACTTTAAACACATTGCACTGATCAGTGTTAAAACGATAAACTATTCTTTTTCAATAAGTAGGTAAGGAGTTGCATTGCCAATTCAAGGCAAGCAATTCAAATCCACCAGCTACTCTAGGGGAGAAAAATGGGATCTATCTCCTCCTGTGCAATATATGGCCTTTGTAAACCTGCTGGAGGGTCAGCTGTAAGTCAGTTCCAATTTTACAGCAGGTTAAGAACACTGATTTTGCCAATGAACTCATTTTCCCAGTGATAAGAAGCTGTTCTGCAGTCTCAAAGGTTTGAATCCCCAGACCTGTGGAAGAAAGATGGGCAATCTACTTTCCTTAACTGCCTTTGAAAACCTGCGGAAAGGTCAGCTATGATTTGGTTCTGACTTGACAGCATATACCACACTCACTATAGCTTGAAGTTAGAAAATAATAATGTTGATAGTCTACCTTAATTCAATGTAACTTAAGATTGGTATACTGGAGATCTGTCATGCAAGAGAAAACAGGTTTTTAAATATAAACAGAATGGTATAACTGAGTAAGAGGTTGAATCATTAAGATAATAAATACAAAAAGTAGTTAATAAAAGATACATAGAAGTCTGAAGAATGAGGAAGATCTTCAAATGTACACACAGAGAATAAAAAGGAGTAGAAGATGACAGGAAATGAGTAAGGAGTAAGAAGAAAGAAGACAGGAAGACCATGTCAAGAATTCCTGATGTTAAAATAGTCCAAAGGCAGAAAGAACACAAAGCAGGAAGAATTTTTTAAAAGGAAAGGAAGTAACAGCTTTTAATTGATGATCTCCAAGTCTACAAAGTTATTCAAGCTAGTGAGAAGAGAGTATGTCTTACTGGAAATCACGACAGCTACAGTTACCTCAAAATTAACCTATTTTTTTTTAGTGTAGATGAAATACTTCATTTTTCTGAAATTATCATGGTTTTAATGCCATTTGGGAAACCAATTTTAGGATGTGAAGTCACTGTAGAACATATTTAAGCTTCTTATTTTCCAAATAAATCAAGTCCAGAATGGTTAAACCAAAGGGTATATAGCTCAAAGTCTGGAATAGAAACAGACCCTGCTTTTAACTCCAGGCTCTTTTTATTAGGGCACACTGGCTCTCTTTGATCGTCTATCACAGCAGCACTTTGTGATCTGACGGAGATGATGGGAAATGCTATACTGATGTTTAGGATACAGTCTAAAGCCATGAGTTTTGTTTTTATGAGTAACCCAGAAAATGAAGGCACATTATAGTGATGTTAAAGTTGGTCTTTCATTTTCAGTGTAAAAACAACTAAAAACTAACGAATCATTAGAGTTTTGCATCTTCATGAGTCATGAGATAAAAGGGGCATATTTTGTTTTATACCTTTTCAAGAAAGATGTATCATTGCCTAATTTAAAAGAACTTTTCAGTATTTAAAGCAATATGTTCCAAAGTTCATGAGATTTCTGAGTAAAAGGGGGTAAACTGTAATTAAAAGTCACAGTCTTGATACCTTCATGTTAGATGCCTCAGTTTCCAGTTTTGTAAGATGATTGGAATTATCTTCTAGCTCTTGTCGGAGATTTGAGTTTTCCATCTTCAGTGCCTCAACTTGCTTTAACAACTGATCATATGAAGCTGCAGCCATCCTTGGCTACCCTTGGACCTATAAGGTTAAAAAGGATTTTGAAATTCACCATTTGAAAAATACAAAACCAAACCTTGTGGCTGCATCTTTACAAAGAAAGGATTTTAAAAAACCCACAAAAACCAAACCACCAAAAACCCAAAACTTTTCAGACATTTATTACCAAGAATTGTGTTAATATCCTAGTTTCAGTCTCCAAATAATATTAAGTGGCAGAATTTAAGAAGATGAAAACCTTAAGTCTTCTTTGAAGACAAGCAGGATTAAATGAAAGAGAATTTCAGAAGTTGTTTTATTTTATACTCAATTTATCTTTTCATAGGGAGATGAGATTTCCACCAGGTTGGACATTTTCATGATTTTAAGACATTTTATAACAGTCTTACAAGTAAAATTTAGGAAATGTTAACCAGTGACAAGAAACTGATACTGGTTATATGAATTTATTTCTGGTCTGCAATGGTTTTTAAACATAACCTAGCTTGTTTTCTCAGAAAATGTAGCAGAGTCTAATATTACTCTTAGAGAAAGCAGTCACAGAGTTTTAGTCAGGAGAGATTAATAAGATTATGTAATTCATAAGAAAATTTTTTATTTGGTAAACATTATCAGTGGAGAAATAGTTTTGCAACGTTAGGAAGACTTTATTAAATGGCCATCTTAAGAAAATTGGACACAAAGGATTATCAATAAACTGAAACAACAAATCTTTCTGATAGGATAATTAACAAGAATTAATAATATAAAGTTTCATTACACATACTCAAAAGTATGAATATGACTGTCCATTCTATGGCATAAGGACACTTAAAAAAATGGATGATTTCAAGAGTAGAAGTTGTCAGTGAAGTAGTTTGGCAGTTAAATGATTGTAAAAGATGAAGAAAAAAAGATATTAAAACTAGCTAGGTAATAGGAGTTCCTTGGCATAAAGAATTACATAGTATGCTTAGAATTATATTAAGACTAAAGATTCTCTTTTCAGTTTAATTCAAAATCAGTTTACACAATTTTTTCCTTGCAACTATAACGTTCATAATTAAGCAATATTTAAAGATCCTGACAGAAAAATGTTCCAGTGATGAAATTCACTATGTGAAATAAGGCAGACTATTTATGTCCTGGTAAAATTGGGATTCAATAACTAGAAGTGAAATAAATGTCCTCCAATGACCCAAGTTGATGATACAAACTTGGTGCAATTTAAAAAGACAGAAAGGAGAGCCCTTGGTGGTCGGGACCACTTGACTAAAGAGAATGAACTCTAAACTAATTAATATTCATGTCTTAATTCTACTTATGATGTCAATTTAATGACTATTGTACACCTGATCCAAGTCATAGCCTTTTAATTATTTCCTATGCATGTGAAAATTGGACAATGAACAAAGATGACAGAAGAGAATCGATGCCTTTGAATTGTGTTGGAGAAGAGGAAAGTCCCATGCACGGACTTTCAAAAGAACAAACAAGACTGTTTTGGAGAAAATGCAACCATGGTGTTTCTTAGAGGCAATGATGGTAAAACGTCAATTCCCATAATGTGGTCATGTCATGGAAAAAGACATTATGGTGGGAAGGGTGGCAAGTCAAAGGAAGACCCTCAACAAGATGGATTAACACAGTGACTGTAAAAACGGGCTTAAGTATATCAAATATGGTGAGGACGGCAAAGAATAAGGCAAAGTTCAGATCTGTTGTTCACAAGGTCATTATGAATCTAGTCAATTTGATGACACTTAACAACAACCATCTGTTCTAACACAATTCACAGGATCACTTTTTAAGATTTAGTAACAAAACAAAACCAAAATCCAAAGGCTCAGAGCTGATTCTAACTCATAGAGACCCTCCATTAGGTTTCTGAGCGTGTAAATCATTAGGAGCAGAGACTATAATTTTTCTCCCATGAAGTGGCTGATAGATTTGAACCATACACCTTTTGGTTAGCAATCAATCACTTAATGCACTGCACCATGAAGACTCCTCACAGAAGAACATTTGAAAACATAAAGATGTATGTATATTTATTGTATTATGAAAATAACCATGTGGCATATTTTTAGGAATACTCAATGCTGAATTTATTACACTATTAATAGCATGATTTGCATGTCTGGACAAAAACTTGTGTGGTTTGCATATATCCTGTTGAGAACCAAGATATACTGATAACATTTTTTGGTTAAGAGATATTTCAAGTAATTTGAAAACATTTTTATCAAAGTATTTTTTAAATTGAGTAATTTTCAGTTAGGCTGCAACACCTTAAAAGATTGTACTTCATGAGGCTTCTTTTTTCTCCCTCCATAAAGTGAGATGAGACACCCTGATTTCTAGAGCAGAAGGGATTTGAATTTTGATAACGGAGACTCTGGGTGAGGAAAAGAAAGATCAGACGCTGAATGTTCATTTGAAAGGTTGAAATTCTACAGAACATTTTTAGTCTTCCCTTCTATTAGCTCTTTTTATGACTGTATAAAATGATAGCCTCTGTATCTCAGCTTAGCTGTTTTGTGTAAAGAAAAGTTAATGCTGATTTACTATTAAAATGACTACTCCTTCCACGGCCACCGGCACCACCAATCCAAATGAAAAAAGTAACTGACCCTCTTGAAGAAGGCAAAGGAGCTTTATATATACAAAATGAAGAGACTAATAAGTAAGCTTAGAACGATAGCACATTAAAAACTCTTCTAGTGGCCTAGTGGCAAGAAACTACACTGCAATCTTGAAGCAAGAAGTTCAAATCCACTAGGTGATTCATGGGAGAATGATGGACAATCTCCTCCCATGCGATTAACTAACTCTGAAAACCGACTGCAGGGTCAGCTATGGATCAGTTCTGTCTTGATGGTACATCAACATAGTAATCCAGGCCTTAAATTCTTTAATTCCAAAATATTTCAACAGGTACTACTTTCACCAAACTAATAAAAGATAAGGGAGTTCTAGTAGCCTACTGAGTAAGGAGGTGCACTGCCGACCCAAGGCAGGTGGCTGGAATCCACCAGCTGCTCTGTGGAAGCGAGAAGGGCAATCTCCTGTGCAATTTATAGATTCCGAAACCTCCTGGAAGGTCAAGTATAAGGCAACTCAATGCCACATAACAATAATAAAAAAAGATAGGGAGTTCTGATGGCATAGTCCTTAAGATTTTCTAACGCCAAAGTGGTCCCTCACTGGTAGTTAAAATCCACCAGCAGGAGAAAGATAGGCAATCTCCTTTTGTATAATTTACAGTTTCTGAAAACCTGCAGAAGGGTCAGCAATGACTCAGTTTCAACGTTATGCCAAAAAGTTTGACGCTTTTTGGGTTTTTTCCTTCTCAGATTCAGTAAAAGATAGTAAGAAAAGAAAAGGCAAAACAGTTACTTTAAGAAGCTGCACTGCAATCCCAAAGGCACCCAGTTTGAGGCCACCAGCTGCTCCGCGGGAGAAGGATGGGCTATCTCCTCCCATGATTACTGCTTCTGAAAACCTGGCGGAAGGTCAGCTATGGGTAGGTTCTGACTCCACACTACACAACGAGAACAGCTGCTTTACCTCATAAAAGCATATGCTCCATTTTATTTTTCTATAATTAAGATGTCCACTAAAAATATTAGTTATCTAATAAATGAGGGGATGAGGAGAAGAAAGCAAAGGATTAATAAGTAGACTTGTATCCAAACAGTTATGGTAAAACAAATCTACAAGTATCGTAAGAAACTAATAATGCAGGAAAGGAGAAAAATTTGAGGGCAGGCAAAGGATAGCTAGTGCAAATTAAATACAGACAATTTATTACTATGAATTCAAGAGTTTAGGCTTACCTAAAAATTAATAGTGCTGCTTTTATTGCTTTGTTTTAGTAAGGGGGGAAAGTTCTATTTATTTGCATTAAGAGAAAAGAAACAAATCAAAAGAATTATGAAAAATTAGTTTGCTCAACTTTATTAATATAAATTTAAAAAAACAACAACACAAAAACACAATTTCTAAAAATGACCTAAAAGGGATAGAAAAGATAATAAAATTTACAATACAGTAGGATAGGCAGTGTCATGATAGATGGAGTGGAGATTGAAACTATCAATAGCTTCATTTTGCTTGAATCCACAATTAACAGCCTTGGTACCAGCAGCCAGGAAATAAGGAGGCGCACTGCACTGGAAAAATCTGCAGTTAGGGTCCTCTCCAAATTATAGAGGAGGAGTGATATCAACTTGAGAACTCAGGTAAATATGATTCGGGCCATAGTCTTTCTGATTACATGCTATGTGTGCTGAACTAAAAATGTAAAGAGCACCTTAAGAGGACAAGTATCATAATGAAATGTGCAAAGACCTAGAGTTAGAAAATAAAAAGGTTAAGAACATACTTAACATTTCTCAAGCTGAAGCATCAAAAGAAAAGGAAAAGAATATACAGAGTCATTGTATTAAGAAGAATTCAGCAGTTACTAACCATTTTAGAAGATTGCATATAACCAAGAACTAAGAGTATTGAAAGAAGTAGTCCAAGCTGCAATGGCAACCTGGGCACAAAATACAGCTCTAGAAATTTACTGGCTATCAGTTGAGGTGTTTCAACAAACAGATGAAGCTCTGGATATGCATACTACTCACTCCATGATAAGAAATTAGGAAAACAGTCAACCAACTGAAAGAAATCCATATTTGCACTCATCACTCATCTTCCCCCTAGAAGTGATGCAACAGAACATGAAAATTACTGAACAATATAATACCATATCCAAGTAAAACTTTACAGAAGATAATCACTATGAGTCGCAGGCAACTCGACAGCACATAACAACAACAACAATTGTGAAATGGTCGAAATGGTATGTCTACATGAATTGCCAGAAATTCAAGTAAGATTGAGAGGAGGTCACAGAATGAAGGGTATCACTGCTGATGTCAGATGGATCTTGGTTGAAATAGAAAATCAAAACAGAACAGAAAATAGAAAAAGTATGTGTAGTTTATGGAATAAGCAAAACTATTTGACTGTGTGGGTCATAATAAATTCTG